AGAAGGTAAGTTCCTCAGACAAGCGGTCAGTTCGAATAGGACTCCCAAGCGATTAACACAAGAGTGTCTTCGGCTGTGTCCTGTCTCAGGTGAGGAAGTGGTTTTGTACAGGCTTTGTGATTTAATAGAATACGTTTGATGTTTAATTTCTCTCTTTGTTTTTCTGTCTTTGTCTGGCTGGGTCTCTCTCTCTCTCTCTCTCTCTCTCTCTCTCTCTCTCTCTCTCTCTCTCTCTCTCTCTCTCTCTCTCTCTCTCTCTCTCTCTCTCTCTCTCTCTCTCTCTCTCTATATATATATATATATATATATATATATATATATATATATATATATATATATATATATATATATATATATATATTCTCTCTTTCTCTACTCTCTCTCTCTCTTTCTCTACTATCTCTTTTGGAAGGCCTGTTCCTTCCTATTTTCATCTTTATCTCTCACTGTCCAGGCTTAACTACAATTAAGATATGCTACAAAATAGACAACAAGGATGATAAACTTATTCGCCACCACTGTAAATATGACATTTGAAAATAATGTTGATGCCACGATAATGAAAAAGGTTGATGTTTGCCATTGTCATTATCAGCACTATTGCTTTCACAATCACTATTTGAAGTAAAGTAACAAAAATAATGTCATTGTCTATCATTATCAACATTAGGATCATCACACATTTAACATCATCACCGCTAGAGTGACGAAACAAAGTATGTGTACCGAATAAATTTAGTAAAAAAAGATATTCAAATTGAAAAAGAATAAATATCATGTAAATCATATCAAAGGTCGCGGATTAGGATTTGTTCTCAAGTCATAACGAAAGAGATTGAATTATTGCAAGATAAATACTGAGTGCAAGATGCTTATGTAATAACTTACCTGTCAAGGCTTTTGGCAGTTTCATGTGGCTGATTGCATAATACCATTACACTTAATTTGCTCATTCAGTGTATTACTGTTTTGGGGGTATCAACATAACGTCACACCTTTTCCTGTAATTTTCAATCTGTTATATATTTCTTTCTGAGTGTTTTTTTTTATATATAACTGAACAACATAAACGACATACGTCATTGAAAAAGAAAACACATTCAATATAAAAAATTGTTTCCTGCAGTGCTTGTTAAACTGGTTTAAACCCAACGCGAGACACTCATATTACACCTTAAACACGTCATTGCTAGACGGCCCACGAAGCTGCAATACCAACTTCCCTTGGACGTATATTATGAAACAAGGAAGGAGGGAATGGGCGTCTGAGGACCTGCCTTTCATGTTCCCTTTTTTCAAGTGGGTGTTTCAAGTTCAGGGTTATCTTTGGGGCTTTATACGAGCATTAAGCCGTAGTTGTACCTCTAAAAAAATCATGTTGTGTGTATATTTGTCTGTTTTGGCGTAAGTAATTGCATGAAATAATTTTAGATAAATATGGAAATTCAGAGACTTTTCGTACATCATCATTTCCTGTTGCATTATTCACTCAAATTCGAAACCTTTGAAAATCAGATAACGATAAACGAAATATTACGAATTCGTATTTCCGCCATTATGAGTCATAGCTCTAATGACCTGCCTTGTCCATCCCCTTAAATCTTCTAAACTAGGAAACTATTTCGCCATATTTGGTTTCATCCGCCGGCCAGACGCCTGGTCCTTCCACCGTCTCTCCTGACGAGTGTAATGGATGTGCAAAAGCCTCCCTTCACGTCGGAGATAAATTCCATAAACTGACAAACGAAATGCGTCTCGTGTGGGGTCGGATAAAGACGTGTGAATAGGAATTGTTCGAAAACCAAGCTATAAAAGGAAATGGCTTGACTCCCGGTTACATATTAGGGAATCATATTATAATCTATATTGACCTTTTGAATAAAGAATGTATAAACAACGATGTAGTTAAATCGGTAGATGATCCAGCCTGTTCTCTTTTTTTTAATTTTGAAAAACCAATATTGCTACAAATACAACCATATGACATACAATCCCTACGAAATATAGTTTTGTATCTTAAATGTATGACAAGAATAAACAAGTAAACAAACAAACAACGAATTAAGTATAACAAATAAATAAAATAAAATACAAACAGACAGAGCTCAACCAAATTTCCCGATTCTCATTCATAATTCGGTCGGCTTAATAATGAAAGACAGTTTATCAGAGAAGTGATGGCGGCCAAGAAAGAAAACCCGATCTTACAGGGTAGACTTTATCAGCTGAGTCATCTCTTACAACTATTGGAACACCTTCGCCTCTCACTCATATTATTTATCTTTTGTGTTTGTTTACTGTTTTGCTTACTTACGGTTTTTATCTGTGTTCTTGTTGCTGCTATTATCAATAGTATCATTAGTATAAATGTATAATTACTACTATCACCATCACTACTCTTAATATTGCTATCATTATTGTCATTATTGTTATCGTTATATTTATTCTTGTCCATGGCATTACATATTTAATGACCATCCAAGGAGATCCTTTTGCACTG